TTCGTCGAACACCTCATGTGCATAGGAGGTGAGCTAGAGCACCCAAATGCCCTCCCCTCGCCGGCCAGAAAAAACAGAGCACTGTGGAGTGCTCTGCTGCGGCGATGGGGTATATATAGGCAACTCATTTGTCCCGGTTCGTGGCTGGAACCGGGACTAAAGCCCCCCCCCCTTTTCTGTCCCGGTTCGATCCACGAACCGGGACCAATGTATCTGGGCCAGGAGCGAGGCCCATTGGTCCCGGTTCATGCCAGGAACCGGGACAAATGGGTCCAGATGAACCGGGACCAATGCCCACGAGGCCCTGGCCGACCTCCTGGGTTCACGAACCGGGACGTATGCCCCCCATTGGTCCCGGTTCGTGACTGAACCAGGACTAATGGGCTGGCCAGACCCGAACCAAAGCCCTGTTTTCTACTAGTGCGTGTGGATGGATACATGCAGGATGGTGACGTTGCGACGGCAGGCCTGCCAAGGTCGATGCGTCAGTGCCTGCTCTGAAGATGGACCGGTGAAAGACCGTGGCGGTGGCCTCTGAGAGTGCGCCGAACCAGTATATATGTGCCCCAGCAACGCGGCTTGGTTGGGGCCTCCGGCTCTAGATGTTAGGCTTTGGTGTGATGTCTATTTGATATTTGGCTCGGACAATCGGCACCCCTTCGTCAAGTGAATAAGAGTAGCGACAGATGTTATCAAGATGGTGGCTTCAGACTACCTGATGTATTGCTTTGTAAGGTCTTTGTGAATAATTAATAAAATGACTGCATGCATTGTCCAAATGCAGAGGCCGGGGGTCATCCTTCTTTTTTCAAAAAAAAAAACACATAACCTCGACATACATTTCACCATGACTTCCTTCATTCCTACCACTAATATTGTGGGTTCGTTGACCCGGTGCCAGATGTGGCACAGGTCTTATATGTTGCCTAGCCTCACAAACAACAAACAACAAAACGTCAATAAGGCCATTTGGGTAGGCGTGCCCCCACGTGATATTTCTCTAAGTGTCACTCAATGCCGTAAATGAAGTCGTTTTGCTAAAGAGGTGGTGGTGCCTTCCTGCCGCCAGCCGCCACAACAAGGATGTGGCTACCAAGATGGCCCGGTGGTGGACGGCGAGGACACCTAAGGTGAAAACTAGGTCTTCGGTCCTAGGAGGAGGGTGGGGGTTCTCGGTTGAGGGCATAACCTTGCCAGTTCAAATTACAAAAATCATCTCGGCCAACTTAATTATCATAGGAGGCTTTCAAGAAAACTGTCACAGGTGTGCTGTCTGAGATAATTTTATCAACAACTGTTTTGTTGAACTGTCTTAAATGACGGTCTATCATGTAAGTTCTGTAGTACCGAAAGGTAAGATAATGTGAGTACTAGTTAGGTTGCTGTCCTTGTCTTGATCTTATCATGTTCTGCAGACCACAATCTTTTCTAGTAAGATTTGGTGGGTAGACTGATGGCCAAGTGTGCATGGAGATAATCTAACAAAAGTATACACATAAGTTTTATCTCTAGGTAGTAGGTAGTACAAATTTGGGGAAGCAGATCACTTGGGCTTGCTGGCAATACCCTCCAGCAATGCTCAATCGGATGAAATGCTGATGGAATCTAAACACAGAAGGTCGCATATAGCATAGTAGTACAAATTCAACTATTACTGAGTGGTGTTGTCATTCTACTGTATTTCTACTTTCTCATCTTGAATCAGGACTCGCTCCACAAACGGTAGCACTTTAGCTGGGAAAATATTTGTTGCCCCATTATACAAATAGGGCTGCTTCTTTTCCTATCTTCTTATCCAAAGCTTTCTACAAGGCCTAGCATCTCCACTATTCTCCACACGGGTGCCTCGAACTACATGAACGGTGACAAGGCTCTCTTCACCGAGCTCGACGAGAACATCTCCAGCAACGTCAAATTCGGTGACGACCCCACCATGGACATCCACCTCCATCGATTCATCGATGGCACGGGCTGAGTGTCACCCAATGCACTGCTGAGAAGCAAGAAGGCAGTAGAGGAGGCCATGAGCTGAGCAGATGATGGAGGAAGGGAAACAAGACGGTGCGTTGGTGATCTGACTCATTTAGCTTCCGGCAGGTCCATATGCGGTATGAGTTGCCTCTGCTATTGCCCCCGCTCCCCTGACTTCGGCCTCCACTTCTTCAACGAGATCGTCACTGACTGATTTGTTGTACCTTCTTCAGTTTCTCATGGACATGATCCAACTGCCAATCCATACCTGAGACCATCAAAGTTGTTCGTCAGTAAAATCATCCTACTTATAGTAGAAGCGTGTTGCAGGCTCCATGCTAACAGAGGTTAAAAAAACGATGATGGGGATTTTACAACAATTTTATACAGAGTTATGTCATGTCAGAGTACTGGAGTCCAGGCTAACAGAGTCCTGGAGTGATGTCAGATTCATAACATACACTTTTATACAGTTCGCTACTGTGGTATAGTTCTGTTTTTCATTTTTATAAGTAAACATCTTTCGGAACTTCACTTTCCTTTTTTACTACGATATACTTGGCCGGGAGCTGAAACAAATGGCCACCATATAAAAACAGGCAAATACATGAACATAAGGTACGGCAGATGAAATCGGAAAAGGTGCCTGTGTTAATGAAGGTGAAGATAATCAAACAATAAACAGAATGTACCGGAAATGGTAGAGTCGAGCGACCAGCAAATTAATGTGCAGTCATCAGGATCAGGTAGTCCTGGTTGAGGTTGGTTCGAGCAGTCCGCTGTGTGGTTTTACTGAATAACAAACCTGGAGCAAAATAAGAATACTTTAGTAACAAACCTATTGCTAACTGCCTGTCCATTTTTCACAGCGAAACTGCATCACGAGACAGATGATACAGTAACTAGTATATTTATGTTTCTACTACATTTTTAAATCATATCTCATGCTGAACAGTCAACTACAAATAGAAAATACAAGCCAAATTAGTGCACAGCAGAGGAAGGGATGGCATGATAAATTGTTTGTGCGAGCAAGATCATTGGTGCATTACGGTGTTTCTAGTTAACAGCATTTTTTATCGAACCATGCAAGAGAGGAGAGCCTAGCTAACAGCGTTAATATGTGTTGATCAGATAAGCAGAGGGGCTGATTAACAATACTGGACAAGATGGGATGCGTGATTAAGTACCAGAAAACATACTGGAATCTTCTCATCACTTAATCAGAAAGTAACCGAGAAGAAATAATATCGCCAAATACTACATCCCTGAGCCACTGAGAAACTAATCAGGATAAAAACAAATCACCCAAAACAGCATACTATGGTAAGGCTTTGCTCTAGCATAGCTCACGGCCAGCCACCAACTAGAAGAGAAACAAGAAAGAGTGAAAGGTGATAATGCCCCTGATAAACAAAAAAGACTTACCACTTTGCCCTTATGCTTTCCTGCGTCCATCCATCATGCAGGTAGCTCGTGGAAAGCCAAATGGGTATGTGGCACTTGCACAAATGTGCTGGCCACTGCGGGCGCACAAATGAATTGCATTTAGCAAGAAGGTGAGCATGTAAACTAATTATGTAGGCAAAATGCTCCAAAAGTGTACCTTAGAAGTAGACACAGGTGATTAATTCACATCCTGACGATCAATCCTCACCCTTAGCTTCTCTGTTGCTACAATTCTGCATTGCACGGCTAGCTCCTCACTACAGTAGAATAACTTGAGAGATCTGAGAGAAGTTGGGAGGCCCATGTCTGGCAGCCTTGTGATGCTCTTACAATGTATGATAGATAATGTCTCGAGGGAGGTCAGGCTATTAAGATTTGCAGGAAGTGACAAGAGATTCTGGCATCTCCGAAATTGAAGCTCTTGGAGGGAGGTTAGAAGCTGTAACGCTCCCTCTTGTTCCTCCGTTAGGCTCACCAAGCTCTCTCCTCTCCATTCACTAGCCTCAGAGCCGAACTGTAGGAGTCCTAGAGATGTGAGCTGTTTGCAGAAAGACCTGGAAAGGACAGACCCGTCACTGGCCTCAAGAGTTTCCAGTCCAGACAAGGTCGCAGAGGCCCCTTGCTGGTGCGACACGAGCTCCAAAAAGGAAGCTAGGCCAGGGGAGTTAAATACTCTCAGGTATTTCAGGTTTCTACAGAATTGGAGGCCCTCGATGGACTCCAGTGAGTCGCATTTTTCAATTTCCAACTCTTTTAGTGCCGTGCAGCATCCCAGCTGTAGAGATGTCAATTCTGGACTACGCCCTATCGCTAATTTGGTGATGGCAGGAAGGCAGGACAGAAGATGGGATTGGACACTGTCCGTGAGAGCCCTGATCTCAAGTTTATCAAGGGACGGAGGAAGCAGCTGAATTTGATTGCCACCCTGTTCTTGCTCCTGCAGTTTGAGATCCCATGCAGAAGACAGCTCCGGGCTCATCTCAATATCCAAGCTTCGGAGGGAGGTGAGGAACTGCAAACCCTCCAGTACAGCCAGCTGGACACACCCCGTGATCCCTAGCTCCACTAGGGAGGTACAGGAATGCAGCTGTACAGACTTCAAACATGGGCCATAAAAGAGACTTAGCTCTTTGAGGTGGAGAAGGCCTTGAGGAGTGAAGGACCGCAGGCTTTCTTGGAGAGGACTGATAGTAACTTTTTCAAGTGCTGGTGGGAGTAATCCAACTTCCATGGTACCATCATCTTTTGTTTCACCCACCAACGATGAGACCAGCTTGGGGCAACCAAAAAGGACTAGGTCCGTAAGAGAGGTGAATCCTGCGAAGTCTCTGTAACCCCCACAGAACTCCAGATCCAGGCTTAGCTGAATGCATAGCGCCTTGAGAGACATAGGAGATTATATGGCAGTTTCAATTCATGTTCATCTTGGGCCGAGGTCGTCACTGCTGAAACCAAACTGCTGGTCCCTTCCATTTCTCTAGGTTGACTGATTGATAGAAACTTTATCGGCGGACAGCCAGTTAACAGCAACTCCTCAAGGGACTGCGAATGTGAAAGCAGTTGAGATAGCCACCTCCCAGTTACGCCACATGTGCTAATGTTGACACGTTTGAGAGATGGGGGGACAAGGCTGCTTGTAGATGTGCTGTTTTCCTGGACAACCTCTGGCATAATGTTTGACATAGTAAGATTAGGGCATTCATGTATAGATAAAGTCTCTAAAGCAATGAGCTGGCTGAAAGATTCACTTGAAAGAGAGATCAGATTTGGACAGCTTCTTATTTGAAACAATGTTATGCCCCTCAGATTATGAAATGCCAAGATACTCTCATCCAGCATACACAACTCATTAGATTCGATAGTGAAATGTCTCCAGTTTATCCTCATTGTTGGAAGTGTCGAAACCCCACTGATGGACAACTCAGAAATTAGAGCAGAAGGCGGAAGAGGATGTGACACTATCAAACATGGGCAATCATGGATGGTGAGTCTACGGAGATTAGACACCAATTCATTCTGATCTCCTTCAGGAGGTGAAGATTGTAGAGGTGGAGAAGTCGTTAGACTGCTGCAATATTCCAGGATTGGCATTTTAGTCAACACCAACTTCTCCAGAGAAGGAACTGACACTCTGACAACATGCAGATCCATCAACTCCAACTCCTTGAGTGCCCCCATTTCTCTTAGTGGAAGGATTGGCCAGTTGCTGCAAAATCATTTATCAAAGTAAGTGTCCAACAATTTGCAAATGAACATGAAAAATTAGAGAGAAGGGAATTACTTGATTATATGAGGACACTGCCCGATGGACAGTTTGCTGAGAGATGGAAACCAGGATTTCTGCTCAGCGTCGAAAGAAGAGTAACTCTGGAAAAGAGTGAGCTCATTCAGTTGAGGGCAGTTCTTGATCATCAAAACACTTAAATGGGAAGTCAAATCCATTCCATAAGAACCGGTACATTTTTTCAATTTTGGCATGCCAATCAGGGTCAACTCTACCAAGGAAGGAACTGAGAGTTCCATTAAATTCAACATCCTGATCAATGTCAGCTTCCTAAGGGAATGCATTCCATGAGTAGATAGAATTTGCCATTCCCTACACTCCTCCAGATGAAGTATCTGCAGTGAGGTAACTGAAAAGGCACTAGAAAGCCAGGTTGGGGAGATAGCACCACCATATCCAGTTATTTCTAGAGTTTTGAGGTTCTGATGTGGTTGAAGACCATCAAGCACATCCTCTGCAGCCTCAGGTTGAAGGCTCATGCTGCTATTCTCCCATGACAAGAACAATGTTTCTAGATACTCTTTGTGTGTCAGCATGGCTGCCCACGCCTCTTCTTTAGTCTTCACATTTTCAAGTTGAGAAACTCCTAGTGATGCAAGCTCATTCATGGACTGAAGTTGTCCTATCTCAAAACTGCCAACATTTTGAACCTTGAATTTTAATTCCTGAAGAGAGGTCATGTTGCTGACACAATCTATTGCGTGGTGCACTTTCTCATGAGCAATAAGATGACGCAGATTCACAAGATTATTCATGTCAGTAGGTACATCAAGATTGCCCGAAATGCCCACATCCAGTACTTGAAGGTGATAACATCTTGTCAAAGCTTGACGAAACGCAGGGTTGCTGACTCTGTATGCTGATATATAGCGAAGATGGAATAGATTTGACGAATTGTATATAGAGCTGATGTCAGCACCTGTCACACTTAGCAACCGTAAACATTTTGCCTCATTGCATAAAGTACGCAATGGCCCTGATAAATGTATGCTGCTTCGCCCAAACAACATCAATGTCCTCAATTTGTGCCAAGACACCTTCTGAAGTATTTTGTCAAACTTCTCACTAGAATTGCTGACATGCTCATCTTTATCATAATCAGTAATTATGATCGACAAATGCCGAACACTTGCTCGAATTGCCCCGGATTTCAATCCATCTATAGTAGCACACTCATTTGATGAAACCATCCCTGCCAATACATGCATTAGGTCATGCATAACATAGTGTGAGCCATCCTTTTGGAAGAAGCCCAAATCCACTAATTTTTCCAAATATTCATGCCCTGTTTCCTCCAGTCTTATGGTAGGATCTTTGCACTGCACAAAATTTTGTGATATCCAGGCATGGACCAATTCTTTCCCATCAAATCCGTAGTCCTCTGGATACAAAGAGCAGTATGAGAAACACCGCTGAAGGTAGACTGGTAGATAATCATAACTGAGCTTCAAGATGGGTAAAATATCATCATCATATCCTTGAAGAGATTTCCATTTGTCCCGAACTGTCGTCCAATGCTGATAGCTAACTTCTGTGTTCAGAAGTGCACCAACACTTTGTGCAGCTAGTGGGAAGCCTTTTAGTGCTTTAGCAATTTGTTTCCCAATAGATTGCAAACTAGGATGGTGCTCGCGGTTGTCATTGCGAAATGCACATGCCTTGAAAAACAGCCAAAACTCCTTCTCATCCAGACCACTCAATGTGATTTCATCCATAGTTCCTATCATTTTTGCCACTGATTTTGTTCTGGTTGTTGCTAGTACCATGCAACCTTTTACTTTATTACTTTTCAATGGAGCCAAGAGTTTAATCCATCCACCCCTGTCTTTCTCTTCCCACATATCATCCATTACAAGCAGAAATCTTTTGTTTCTAATATTTTCTTGAAGTATCTCCTGCAATTTATTCAAACTGCTTTTTTTTCATATGGTCTATCTTCACATACATGATCTAGGATCTGAAGTGTTAGCCCCACTACATCGAAGTTAGTGGATACACAGACCCATATTAGCAAATCAAAATGATCTTTAATTCTTTTAGCATGGTATACATATCTAACAAGCGTCGTCTTCCCAATACCACCACTGCCAACCACTGGCAGAACATTCAGATCACTAGATCCCCCCTTTATCAACAGATCTATTATCTCGTCTCTCTCTGCATCTCTTCCGTACACCTTATACTCAATCGGAACAGAAGTTGTCATGCGATGATCCCTGGCAATATTCTGACTCTTACTTGATGTTGCCATGGTGCGCAAGTTCTCAAGCTGAAGAACCCCCTTTACAGAATTGCTATTACTGCATAGAAGATTCACTATTACATTGATCCTCTTGGAAATGCTATCTTTAATCTCAAAAGGCAGCATGTTACAATGAGCAGGCCCCTCTTCTTCACGTTTCCTTTTTCTGCCACGTGAGATCCAGTCAGTTATTTGGCTTGTGGCGCTGCATACTGATTTAACAACAGAAGATAGAGTGGACGAAGACACATAGCTTCCCTCAAGATTAGTACCAGTAGGAGCACTACAACCTTTCCCTGCATAAGAAAACTCTTAGTTATTTGGCGACAAGCAAACGAAAGCCACTTAAGCAAAAGCAAATATTATCATGCAAGTGCTAATAATTAATAAAAGTTCCAAAATTTAACAAAAGCTGAATTCAAAAAGATAACAATTAAGCAAGAGATAATCTGAGAGGTGATGCCTACGATATTCAGCTACTCTTGGTTACATATTACGCCTACATAAAAAAAACTGAAAGCAATAAAAATGGAACAGTAGAGAAATATGAAGCACCTTCTGTGATCTGTTGCTCAAGTCGGTAGTAGTCAAGCTCATCCATCACGTCCTCTGAATCATAAAGTAGCTCTCTGAGACCATCCAGTGACAAGGCCAGAGGCATATTGTCAATCCTCCTTCCCTCGGCAGCAGCAAGAACCATCTGCACGTCCCTCATCTGAAATTTGAGCTTCTCCACATCTTCAGCAAGCCCGATTTCACGAGTCCAGGCTTCCATACGTCCAGTAAAGAAGTTGTCAAGGATGCTTTGCACCAGCCATCCTATTGTTGCATCAACCACCGTGCCAAGCAACCCCGACATCTCTCCCGGCACACCTATGGCAGCACAGCAACGGCAGGAGCAAAGGTAGGCCTTGCACAGCGGAGAAACCAAACAGATGGTCTCAGAGGAAAGGAGAGTTTTAGTGAACCAAAAGGCAGGCAGCAATTCAGCAAATGAGAAGAGTCTAACAATGCACCAAAAAACAGCTAACTTTACCAGGTAACACTGGCATCCCTTCAACTGACGCACAGGCCCCTCATGGCAAGCTCGAGGTGGGGTCCGCACGGCCGTGGAACTGTGGAAGTCCTTGATCAAGTCTTGGCTCCACAGTCGCACAATATTGTATGACTGTGAAATAGACTCCTCTTTACTGATAAACATGACATAGCTGTCAGCCATGTGGAAAAGATGAGCTTATGATTTTACATGACAACTACAAAGTATTTTCGTGGAAGCTGAGCCTAGAGAAGAGAATAAAGGATAAGCAGTGGTCCTGTAGCAGCCTGGAATCAGTGGACGCATATGCATACTGAACAAATGGTACAAGCAGTAGGGGACAAAACATCACAAGGGGTCACGCTATCACTATGCTTAAATTGAGTCCTCATTAGATACTTTGATGCCGATGGTTCCTGTTAAGTATGCGCAACCTTGTACCGAGCGACAAATTAATGAGATGCTTAGTGTCGATGGTTTCTACAGCCTTGCACCCATCAAAAAATTAACGAGACGCTTGATCTTGCTGGTTTCTACACAACCTTGTATCTATCGACGGAATTTTTGGTATATATGTAGGGTGCGCGCAGCAATCTAAGACGGAGCCGGGGCAACGATTGCGCGGTTTGATTCCTCAAACACAGTGTCCCTAGAGAAACCAAGCAGATATCCTGTGTAGGGCACGTTTCCAAATCCTGAAGGCAGTAGGAACCATGGCAAAACGATTTTGCTTACTTTGAAGCGGCTTTGTATGTTCAGTTAGCATAGCAGACAACAGAGCTTGGCCTGCAGGAATGGGTAATCTGGCCAAGGAAGCAACATGTATGGTACAAAATCACCACGGACTTTTCTTACCCGCGTGCTGCGGACCAGCTAGGGTGGGTCGCCAGGGCCAGGGGAGCCCCGCGGGCAGGATGAGCCCACGACATCAGTCCTCCGCCGCTCGACGGGACGCTGGGATGGAGATCGCCGACGTTGATGGCTGCGCTAGCTAGGGCCACCACCCGGCGCAGATTCCCCGGCGGGGCATTTCCTCGAACATGTCGAGGGCGCGAACGGGGTGGACAGCGGCGGGCAGGCGCGCACGCCGCGGTAGACGGGCTCGCCCATGGGTGGCGCGATGTGGGTGGTGGATTCTGGTGCGGTCACGAGCGGCGCGGGAATGCGCGCTAGAGGTGTCTGCTCGAGGAGGAAACGGAAAGAGAGTGGCGCCGAGGCCGTGATGAACTGCTCTCGGCTCGGGTAGCAGCCGGTTAGTGCCTTACTGGAGTACATGTGAATTTGGTATTCCAATTTCGAAAATCTCGTCAAAAAAATTGAATTTTTTTACATGTGCACATGAACATTTTTCATGTGAAAAAAACAACTCTGTGGCCATTTGGTTTATTTTCTTTCGCAAATGGCTTACCTTCAGGCGGCTAATCTCATGGGAAATTCGGCCATGCGTGCGACTGCCTGAACAAATGCCACGTTTCATCGCAGGCACCTCTGCTGCTACAATCTCCGTCCTCCGACCAGGCACCTCTGCTGCTACAATCTCCGTCCTCCGACCACCGCGCTGGAAGCCTGCTCACAATGTTGCGGCAAACCGTGCCATGAGACTGAACAGCCAAGTTGCGGGCTGCATGACCAGCCATGTTGCGACAGGGTGTTGCTAGCTGCAACAACTCATGGCCCAGCCTATCTTTATTGCAGGGGCCAACAATATTCAGTGATTTTCCCGTTGCATTAGCTGCAACATTCCAGGGATGGGTTCTCCCTGGTTAAATCTTACTCCCTCTGTAAACAAATACGTATAAGACACTTTTAAGTGCTTCTCACTGCTGTTAAGCTAAGTTGGATACCCCAAGCAAACAAATGAAACATGCATATTAAAAGGTCAAACAAAGCAACAAAGGAAGCCAGGAGGTAATATATATATATATATATATATATATATATATATATATCTGACCAAAATTCATCACGAGTATAGATCTCCCAAACAGACGACATAGTCTGGCAGATAACCACCACGGTCCACAATGATAATAATAATAAGATAATATTAAAAACAGCAAGTAGTCTCCAGGCAAAAACGAAAGGTTCGACATTTCACTAGGGGTGGGTTGGAGTTTCTGCGCGATTTCAAGCGGAGTCACCAAGCTCAGTCATCACCGAATGTTATCTTCTTCCCTGCCAAAGAAACAACAAACAAATGTCAAAACCAGTACCTTCTCTGCCAGAAAGCAAATGAAACTAGAGCAGACTGGTGTTCACGTAGGCGGGAAGTTACCTGCACTAGGTGTGCCAGCACTCTGCCTGGGGGGTGCACCACCCCGACCACGGCCCCTGTCACTCCGGCCGCCTCTGTCACCCCGGCCGAATCTTCCACCACCTCTGCGGCCAGAGCTCCCGTCAAACCTTCCACCTCTGCGGCCCCCGCCCCCGTCAAATCTTCCTCCGCGGCCCCCGCCCCCGTTAAATCTTCCTCCGCTCCTGTTACCACTATCGGCGCCATCTCTGTTATCTGCCCTAGGCTTGGCTTCATCAACAAACAAGCTTAAGCCTTCTCCAATGTTAGACCCGTTCAGCTCGAGCGCTTTGGACAAAGAACTGATGTCATCAAATTCTATGTACGCTATCCTACAGGACCAAACCAAGCAGCCAAGAGTCAATTACACGATACGAGGATATGGATTGGCCTGGAGCAGGTGCATTTTACATGCCAGAGCGCTTTGGGCAAAGAACTTACCCTTTGCTTGCGCCAGTATCATAATCCTTTGGGATTGAAACTCTTCTAATATCTCCACATGAGCTAAAATGATCTTGAAGTGAGCTTCGGATCTGGTGACAGCGAACATTTAGATATAATAATAACACAAGACTCAAACTTTTAACTCGGTCAAATCAATCAGATTTTACCACAAAAAGACATGTTTAACGCTTTGAATTACCTCATCCTCCCCAAGAGATGAATCAAATCCTCTGACAAAGACAGTACTGCTTTGACCAGGCTTCTTGAAAGAGCTATTGTCCCTCCTGAACAAAGAAAATTAGGCGCATCGATGGTTAGCATGTACAGGCAATTTCTAGGTAGATAATCGGTGGGATAGAAAATCACCCGCTGCCAGGAGTGATCGCGCCTCGCTCTTTAGCAAAATCAAGCCTGACAGGCCTCCCCGCCAAATCTTGTCCATTTAATTTGTGTGCCTATCAGTGTCGGAACATGGATAACCAAATAGAACTTAGATGGCAATTCACAGCTTGCTTCACATATCAGCTGATAGACTACATAGATCACAAAGAAAAATAGTTAAGTACCTTTTCAGCAGCTTCAGCTGTGGCAAATTCAACATGTGCAAAACCCTTGAAGCTCCCATCATCAAAGGTAGCAAAACGAATATCATATACCTCACCAGCCTTCTCAAAAAATTGCTTCCTACAGGATGTGGAATGAATGAAGGTAAGGACAACATCTTTCAGAAAAGATGCAATAATAGCACATCTCGCAAACTTACACTTGTTCACTCTCCACACTGTATGACAGATTCCCAACAAAAAGGGTCTTTGACCCAGTAGTAGCTTGACCACTGCTGGCAGGAGTTTTTGGCTTCAACAAATAAAGTCAAGGCTGAAGTCAAGCATCCATCAAACATAAGAGGAAAAATTAGAATAGCATAAATATACTCGAACCATACTTCGTTCTGCTTGGATTTTGCCACTGACACCGATTTACTCTTTTCCTCATCACTGTCAGAGCTCTCTTCAGAACTGTCATCATCATCACTGCTTTCTTTCTTGGCAGCCTTAGAGACTGGCTTGGCAGCACCAGAAGATGAATCCTGAAATAGAGTAAGAAATGCAATATGGATCAAAATCTTCAGACGGAAAAGCAAACACCAAAAGTAAGCACCTTAGGCTTCTTTTGTGGAGGCTCTTCCTCATCACTCTCATCAGAACTATCATCAGAATCATCCTTGGACTGCAAATATATTGAATTACAACAAGATCATTTAATGTAAAACAAACATCACAGAAGACAATGCTTTCAAGAAAATAAAATTTTAAAAATTATGCGTACATGTTCACTTTTTTTCTCTGTTGTCAGAGGCCTCTTCGCAGGAATAGTAGATTTTGCTGGCTGCAAAACATTGGAAGGGATTTTAAACACCGCACAACAAAAAAGTGACCAGGAGTAAGCAAGTAACAGAACACTTACTTCATCCAAATCTGAATCCGAGTCACTATCTGAGCTGCCACTAGATTCTTCTTTCTTTACAGAAACTGTTTTAGTGGTGGTATCCTGGACACAGAAAGTAACCGCATTAGAAAGATGGCACAGACAGAAGATTTTGCTAGCAGCAAAACAATGTGAAAGACAAATATCACAAGAGAATTTACCAAGAGTAAACAAGTACAACAGAGAACTTACTTCTTCAGAATCTGAATCTGAGTCAGAATCTGAGCTATCACTAGATTCTTCGCCCTTCTTAACAGCAACATCCTTGGAAGATTGAACTGGTTTAGCAGTGGTATCCTGGAAATATATTGAAAATGTTAGTATCACATTATGAAGAAAGAATGATGAAGCCTTAGTTTTCATATAACTAGTAGGCTGATTACCTCCTCCTCAGAGTCAGAATCAGAACTTTCACTGGATTCTACCACTTTCTTGGCTACTGGTTTTTTAGTGACCATATCCTGCAAATGTGTATCCAGTTAGGACCAACAAATCTGAGACTTAAACGACAAGATCAGGGGAATGGTAAGTGCAAGAATGCGTTTTATGCTTTTGTACTCAATTATCTCACATAGAGATGCATTACTAGAAATATGATCTT